TTTTATATACCAAACCAAAAGTTGTTTTTTTTTTTTTTTTTTTTTTTTTTTTTTTTTTTTTTTTTTTTGAAAAATTCTAACTTGAAACATTCATGAATTCACTCACTCCTGTGTCTATTGTGTGTAAATAGTTTTTGTGGAAACCAGAAAACAAAACAGAACAGAACAGAACAAGTCATGCAGGTCGAATTAGAAAAAAAAAATTCATTCTCCGCCCCTTTTTTTTCCAAAAAAAAATGATACACAGAATGAAAGAGCTACTATAGCTGTATTCTAGGTGTTGCTCCGCCCAATTAAAGGTTTGTCTTCTCAGTTAGTGTTTCATTCGCTTCTCTCTGATTCCATTCTTTTTGAAATGAGAGATTCGATTTGCGCATACGCATCTCTCATCTCTCGAATAGATATATCCGCATCATTCAAATGGCATCTTTGGATTCATATATGATGATGAAAATGATGACGTTTTTCCATTGGGGAGCCGGTTATTATTTTGCCTATTTTCATGTTTTGTGGTAGTGGTGGTTTTTGGAAAAGGTTTTTGTGTTTTGCTGTATTGAATATTTATTATCGATTATGAATGATATTTGAATTGAATTGATTGAAAAAAACTGAATACATTCGGTTCTGTTCTGTTTTTGATTTTCAAATTTTCAAATTTTTTTCTTTCTGTTTTCAAAAAAAATGAATAAATTATTACAGCGGCGGTGATGTTTTCATTCGGTTAAAATAGCGTTAATTTGACTCGTTCGTTATCCTTTTTTTTGTCATTACAAATTCATTATTAGGGCTTGACAGCTAGCCCGGCAGTGTGCGTGTGGGTTAATTAATTTTTTGGTTTTTGTTTTTAACGGGGATTAATTAATCAATGATTGACATAATAATTAGGTAATAATTATTGGGAAATCGATAATATGCTCGATATACACACTAATGATTTGTATCGATTTTGCTGCTACATTCATTCATACATTAAGATTGATTGATTGATTGAATCGAGTTAATTGTCATTTGATGATTGAAAAATATCGATTTTTTTTCGATCGAAATGATATTGATTTCAATCTAATTAACAGCAAATAATTTGTTTAACACCTTACTTTCTTTTGACACAAATCAATCATATCAATATCAGCATCTATGGATTTTTTTCTTGTTTTTTTTTCGTTTTGGTTTAAAGAAAAACCCCTTTTTTGCATGTTAATCATTGATGATGATAATGTTTCGGGTAAAATTTAACACGGGACAACTCTCTCGGTGAGGATTTGACTTTTTTCCCCTTGTTGTTGTTGTTGTTTGTATTGAACAACAACAACATCAATATGATTTCCATGTGTCATCGATGTACATATATCTCATCTATCATTTTCATTTCCATTCTATTTTTCTGAACATTTGCCAAAACATAATGTTTGTTTCGTGGATTTTTTTTTCGGTTTCGGTTTTTTTTTCGTTGCTGCTTGCTTGCTTGAATTCGTTGAAATCAAATCTGTCTCTGTCAAAAAAAGAAAAAGAAATTCTCTCTTTATCTTTCGTGCTTTCTTCTTCTCTATAAATACATACATATCCTACATCCATAAAATGTCCATTGTTGTTGTTGTTGTTTGTATCCAACAACAACAACAACAACAATGTTGTTCAATTGTTTTGTTGTTGTTGGATTTAAACTGAACGATAAAATGAAAAACGTACGGAAAAAAATTTTTGCGAAAGTAAAATTTTCATTTTTTGTTTCATTTTTTGATTTTTTGATATTACAAACATATCTTTGAATGTGTGCCACGATTCATTGAATCTTTCTACTTATCAAAATTAAAAAAATGGATTTTTTGTTTTTGTTTTTGTTTTTTCCTTGATTGAATGTGTTTTTCACCGACCTTAACCAAAGAAAAAAAAACACGATTAAAGTCAATTAATTTTCAATTATCGTCGTTCGTTTGTTGTTGTTGTTGGATTTTTTCAAAAGATTCAATTACAAAACTTTGAAAGATCTTGAAACACACAGAAAGAAAGGCTGTACCCAAAAAAAAAATTTCATTTTGGGTCAGGTAGAAATAGCCAACACACTCACAAACAGAGAGGTGTGTCATCCTCATCATCATCAAAATCAGGTGACCTTATCATTATCATCATCATCTTTTTTTGGGCTATAAGTATCTTAGGGACCTTAGACAAAATATTTACAAAAAAAAACTTGAAAAAATACAAAATTTTTCAAAGTTTTCAAGCTGAATAGAAACTCCAAATCGCCAAATATCCTATGTTATCTATCAATTTCATTTTTTCTGTTGTTGTTGTTGTTGTTCATACGGACTAATCAATCTTATTTTTTTTTTCTTTTTTCATATTTCATTCATTCATAAGGTGAGAAAAATGACAGGCCTGAATTTCTTCTTCTTCTTCTTTTTCTGTTGCTGTTAAATTTTTCATTCATTCATTCAATATTTGCTAAATACACGTTATAAATATACAGATTGTACGTTTGGTTTTTTTTCAAATCAAAAAAATCAAAAAAAAAATCAATGGTAAAAACATAGGTTTTCAATCATCATCATCATCATTTGGTCCGGTTTTTGTAATCTTGTTTTTTTTGCTTGTTGTTTTGATTTGATTTTCAATTGGTCAGTTTGTTTCATTTGTTGTTTCAAAAATTATCAATAACAAAAAAAGAAAAAAGAAAAAGAAAAAAGTCATTAATGATGATGATGATGATCAACAAGATTTTGCGATCTCAGGTATATCTCAGGTATAGGTAATATTTATCTGTTTTTTGGGTCAATCAAAGGTGATTCATTGGTAATCGATCTCTTTTTTTCGGACCTGATTCGACAGTTTGTTGTTTTTTTCTTCAGCAAAACTGATATTTTTTTCAAAGATTTTCTGTTGATAATTTACATTTTTTTTTCTTCTTCAAAGTTTTCCTGGTTATTTGTTATCGGTGTGTGTTCAATTCAAATGATATTCAATGTAGATATGGAAATCTCAAGGGAGAAATCTATTGTGAAACATTTGACATTTGTTTGCTTGGTGTTTGGTTAGGTCGATATAGGAACTTCTAATACTAGGAACTATTCTAATAGTTTTTCAAACAAACTGATCATCATCATCATTATCATCTCATGTTACATTCTCAATCAGATATTATCGTTCAATGAATTGAATTGTGGTCATGTTTTTCTCTTGAGTTTGACAAATGTGTGTGTGTGTTTCATTGTCATATATTATGATTATTATGGATATTCAGTGTAAATATTCTTTGTATTTGTATTTGTATTTGAGTGTTTGAATGTTTGAATGTTGGTGTGTGTGTGTGGGAGAGAGAGAATATAATAAATGATTTTTTAATTATTCAAAAAAAAAAATTGAAGGAAGAAAAGAAACCTTTATTTTGTTGTTGTATAAATGGGATAAATTATAAAACCATTAATATTCAGTTTACTTTACCTTACCTTACCTTATTTTACCTTTACCTACCTATACTTGTTGTTTACGTTTACAGTGTATGTGTGTGTATAGAGTCTAAATAGGTGAAATTAGCAAAAAAAAAAAAGAGACCCACCTCAAACTTTTTTTTTTATTTTTTGTTGTGAAACAAATTATTATTCACGCACGTAAATCGTGTATTCATATATTTTTTTTTCTTTAGTTGGGTGTTTTCTTCTTCTTCTTTCTTCTTCATTTCATTTCAAAGAAACGAAAAAGTTTCCGAATTCTTTTCTTGAAAATATTGTAAGATTTCAAATTCTTTAACATTTCAAAGCATCGATGATCATGATATACAATGTTAAAATAGCCGAAAATTGGCAGCAAATGATAAGGATTAGATATATTCATTCCAAAGTTTTCATTTGAAATAATAATAATATCTCTGTATCTCTCTGTGTATTTCTGTACAAATCGATGCATGTTCCAAAACGAAAACAAAAAAAAATGTTCCAAAAAAGAAACGAAAACGAAAACACCACCAACACACGAAAATGGATCGTGTATTTGTCTTTCGTTCAATTTTTTCACCATGTTTTTCTCTATCCTGTCCATAATGTTGTGTACATTTTTATTATTTTTTTTTTTTTGTTTGTTTTTTTCCATTGCATGCTTTTTNTGTGTGTGTCTGTGTATAGAGTCTAAATAGGTGAAATTAGCAAAAAAAAAGAGACCCACCTCAAACTTTTTTTTTTTATTTTGTGAAAACAAATTATATTCACGCACGTAGATCGTGTATTCATATATTTTTCTTTAGTTGGGTGTTTTCTTCTTCTTTTTCTTCATTCTTCATTTCAAAGAAACAAAGAAGAAAAAAAGTTTCTGAATTCTTCTTTTTTTTTGTTGAAAATGTTGTAAGATTTCAGATTCTTTTACATTTCAAAACATCGATGGTGATGATCATATACAATGTTAAAATAGCCGAAAATTTGCTATCTGTTTTGCAGGATTAGATATTCATTTGAAATAATAATAATATCTCTGTATCTCTGTGTATTTCTGTACAAATCGATGCATGTTCCAAAAAGAAAAAAAAACAAAAAACACCACCAACACACGAAAATGGATCGTGTATTTGTCTTTTTTGTTTTACCATGTTTTTCTCATTCTCTATCCTGTCCATGTTGTGTACATTTATTTTTTCCTTTTTTTTTTTTTGCTTGTTTGTTTCCATTGCATGCTTTGTTTTGTTTTGTTTGAATTCAATTCTTGTCGTTTGGTTGCTCTGTTATGTTTCTGGTCTAGATATAATAATAATAATTCGGACAGCCAAACGAAAAGACTTTGATCATGATGATGATGGCGACCAAAAAAACCCGAATATATGAGAAAAAACGAAACGAAGAGAGAGAGAGAGAGAGAGAGAGAGAGAGAGAGAG